CGCAAGAAAATCCGACAGAACGCACAAATCGGACAGTAAAGACTCTAATGTCTCAACTAGTACAGGAACAACACACCGCATGGGACGAACTGCTGCCGGAGATTATGTTGGCAATCAATACAGATTCGTCTGACTCCACAAAATACAGCACGGCATACTTACTTCAAGGGCGTGAGCCTAGATTGCCGGCGTCATTTTTCGACGAATGCACACCTGGAAATGCTGAAGCAACACTAACACCAGCGATACGAGCACATAAACTCCAAAGAGTATTCAGGAATGTCAAAGAGAACCTTCGGAACGCTGCAACCACCCAGGCACACTATTACAACCTACGAAGAAGAAATTGAAAGCCGCGCCTCAACCAGATCGTTTGGGTAAGACAACACCACTTGTCTAAGGCCGCCAACGACTTCACCGCTAACCGAGATACGATGGACCATACAGAGTGCAAAGCTTTACTTCATCGGTGATAGTCTCACTCCATGCAAAGCAGGAAAACAGATCTCAGCCCACATTGCCGATCTTAGAGTGCACATCAGTAATAATATCGAAGAGCCAAAGTAATAAGTTAAAATTCTAAAAAAACAAAAAAAAAACCCATACCTCCTAAACGATTGCAAGATCGAGAAGCACCGTTATAGAAGAAATAATCTTCAACAAGTGCACAAAAGTACTTCAGTCAGTTTTAAACTTGCAAGCTAAGCACACGTATCGGAAATCAACTAAACCAATATGCCACGCAGCCAGCTATTACCAGAAGCATAGGAACCATCCGGTCAGAGGAACAAGGTGGAATACGCAAGAAGAATTACGGTAGCACCACCGAAAAACGGTCAACCAACGCCACGCCAAAAGGCTATAATTAAGTACAAAAAACCAGCGCCTCGTGTGAAATCGGTGAAGGGCCCCAATTACACTACACCCAAGGTGCTAAAAAGCGACCGCACAGCAAAGGGGAAAGCAGACGGATGGCGAACGAAACCGAGTAACCTTAATGAGACGAATACCAATACCGAAACATCCGGTAACGTGCTCGACGAATTGGATGTTGCCGCACTAACCGACGAGTTAAACTATAGCGACAACAACCTGATGTCCCTGCTAAGTCGTATGGAAACGCCAGCACCGACCGTCATCAATGACGTCTTACAGCAAATCCTAGCCGTGCAAGTACAAAACGAGGTTCCCTGTATGGTTCCACCAGTGGAGAAACCGTATACCACGACTAACAACATCGAAGTAATAGTTACATCAGGGAAACCGAAGTGGCCATAAGACCTGGAGCACGAGATCTAGCGAATACTTTCACATCGCCAACCCAAACAGCAGATAAAATTCCGACGAACAATCGAAAACATCATTTATCAAGTACGAATCAACCGTCAGGAACAGGTCACGGTGAAGGAGGTTAAATACAATATGGACTAATATCTCAGTCACCTCAAAGAAGAGGGGACATATAAAGTAAATTTTATTTGTCCAAAAAGTTTATATGCATGAATAAATTTTACTTAATATCTAGATTAGTATAAGCGATATATATTGTGTTGTGTCAGCCCAGATGGTTTGTTATAGTATTTAAGTGCCCTGCATGACATGGTGGCAAACCCGGTATGCTCGCCGGTTTAGGGGTGGGGTTCTTGGCTACTCAAATCCTACTGCTGACATCGAACAAAAAAAAACATGTCATGACTTACTTCCATCCATTTCCGTAACAAAAAAGTAAACTATATCTTCTTCATAGGTATATATATATTCTATATACATTCTTCTATTCACTTACTATAACTAGGTAGATTAATAACTATTACTAAAACTAATATATATCTTTCAATTTCCAAACTTGCATATATAATCCTAATTCTTTATAATTTCATATTTTTTTTTTTTTTTTTTTTTCTCTATCCTTTTCTGTTTCAATTTAACTCAATTGATTTTTCCATCACTTCATACTACTGACAAAAAAAAAACAACAGACAATACCTAACCACCCAGACATACTGTTTTTTTTTTTCTTTATATTTTTGGTTTCTTAAATTTAAAAAAACATTCATCATAGAAGATGGGCATTGTTTTTTTTCCATTTGAAATTATTACACAGGCCGCAGGTGTGTCATTATTGGGAGAACGTCCGGCTTCTCCAGGACTCACGTCCAGAGCACGCATCATTTGTATCATTTCTTTCACAATGCATTGATGCTCCTCATAGCTAACCTGCGGCATTGGTCCCTCAATACATTCATTGACAGTAGCCATACTTCTATATTGCTCAATAGGCACGTCCGTGGTTTACTATGACTCTCTTTACTTACTTAACTTTACTTAACTGATTTTATTTTTGCTAGGCCCCCTTGATCTACCTGAAGCACACCTCTAGAGCTAACAGTTGGAGTCTAAATCATAATTAGGCTATTGCTATTAGCCGAATACAATTCCACTCACATAAGAATATATTAATTTGTATAAGTGTAATCAAAAACAAAAGTTTTCTGGTTTAAATTTAAATCTTTCCTCTTTTTTCTTTTATTTATCTGTTTATTATAAAGTAATAATAACAAAAAGAGAGAAAACAAAAAAAAATATATATATATACTGACAAATGAAATAAAATTTATTCATACATCATAAAAAACTAATATTTTTAACCATCATCTATTATTATATACTTATATGTATACTTATAAATATAATTGAAATTAAGTACATATCTAAATCAAATTAGATAAAAATATCTCTAATGCACATCAATTTTTTTTTCTACTATCAACCTGCGTTTATTATTATTATTTTTTTTAATTGAGTTTATACCAGGTACTTACTAGCCCCGCTGAAATGACGTCACCTCGCGCGCTCCAGTTACCTAGCTGCATAAAAAAAATTACAAAGAGAGAGTTTATGTAAAACACATGAATCCGTGTCTATATTGCAAAACAACTACTAATGTGCTTAAAGAGATTTTCTGTCTTTTGAAAAATTTATGTTCACAATAAGTTAATTTATATATTCATTATTCATGTATTAATTAAAAACAATAAAAAAAATTCAAAGAAACTAAAAATAATAAAGAAACTTATTTTTTTTTTTTTTTAAATTCACTATAAATATTATTGTATTGTAATGTAATAATTTATTGTAATGTAATAGAAAAAAATTCAAAAAAAATTAAAAGAAAATACGGATATATAAAAAAATTAATGATTTTACAAGAAAAATTTAAGTTCAGATAGATATAATTCCAATTTTTTATATAATTTCTTCTTTTAATAATTTATAAAATATCAGCGAATTTACAATCTGCGACCTCAATGTTTTCTCAATAGAACTGATGTTGAAATACCTGATAATGCCGCTACTTATACAGTTGGTTCTTTATCCTGTTGCCCTCCTTTAATATAGCTGTCTGTTTGCGGTGCTCAGCAATTCTTTACAGTACTCCCTATTGTAGACCAATTTTCACCACATTTTACTGGTCACCGTTTGGAATTCTATGTAGCCAAAGGTTAAATACTTTATATACACAAAACTGCTACTTTTGGCAATAACTTTTATATTCTAATTTTTATAGAATTTCGTTCTTGTTCACAATACGCAGTCACTCTTACAGACTTTATTTCAACAAAACTGCTACTTTTGGCAATAACTTTTATATTCTAATTTTTATAGAATTTCGTTCTTGTTCACAATACGCAGTCACTCTTACAGACTTTATTTCAACAAAACTGCTACTTTTGGCAATAACTTTTATATTCTAATTTTTATAGAATTTCGTTCTTGTTCACAATACGCAGTCACTCTTACAGACTTTATTTCAACAAAACTGCTACTTTTGGCAATAACTTTTATATTCTAATTTTTATAGAATTTCGTTCTTGTTCACAATACGCAGTCACTCTTACAGACTTTATTTCAACAAAACTGCTACTTTTGCAGTAACTTTTATATTCTAATTTTTATAGAATTTCGTTCTTGTTCACAATGTTGAATTTAAAAAAAACAAACTGATCTAACTATATCAGTATTCTTTCAAACAATATCATTAGTTTTCACAAACAAAAAAAAAACTTTTCGCCAAAATTATATATATAATATTTAAAATTCTTGTTAGTCTTCTGATTGTTAACACAACCTTTCACCATCTAGATTCGCCAAAACTGATCCTCTTTTCAGCTCCGCTTCCCAATTTTATACCACCGCTAATACTTGTAACTGGCCTTTTTTTTAAATTTTTTTTTCAGTTACCAAAAATTTGCGGGGTAGCAGAACCTTCCGTTCTCCTAACATTTTGTTTGTTTTGGTTTTCTTTTTTTTTCTTTTTCTACATTCCGAATATTTAACACAATAAAACTCCTAATTTAAATGCTCTGCCCTATTGGCAGCACTAAAACTTTCAAGTTCGGAATGTGTATGAGCTTTCGCCGCGATCTTACAAACCAAAACAAAAGACAATAATAGAATCAAAAGCTTTCAATTATTTTGCTTGGAATGTGCGCGCAATGCACATGTTAATTTTTATTATCTTTATTTTTTATTAGTGATTAACGTAAAAATAAAAAACAAATAAAAACAGATTTTCTACTGCTGGCGAGAGGAATACTGAAGGGGATACTGCGTCCTATACCTGCAAGGTGCTCTTGGACAGCGTGGGACAACCCAGGTAAAATCAAACTATTCTTTTCTTTTTTTTTTTTTCTTCACTAACAATACGTATCCTTTACCTAGGCCTACATAACAGGATCGACGGGGTCGATGTTGCCTGTAACATGGAACCCACTCGTAAGAAATTTACATGTAGGCCATTTGTTGTTTTTTTTTGCTGTTGTAGTTCAGATATAGCTAACGCACCTTCTTTGTCTTACGCCCAACGTGTGACCTCGACCCACACCCTGATTCTGATCTCAAACTCTACCGACTGAACTAGCCTGGCCTTTATTGTACTTTTGGCTGATTCTAACATTGTGTCGTGACATGTTATTTATCAGTTCAAACCAACTTGTAAATTATTTACTTAATATGTCTTTAGCGTGGAAGACGCCTACTTTTCTCCCTTGGCTGTTGCCGAGCTCATACAATGAATTACCTATTGCCTTTAATACCACGCATTTAACATTTTTGTGTCCTAGTTTAGCATTGTAACCGTCCGCCAGTTTACTCTGTCTGAAGTTCTTACGATAAACAATTTGCCCTACTTGGAATTGCACCTGTTTGCTTCGAGTGTTGTACACCTTCTCGGCTCTCTTATGTGCATTTTGTAATTCAACATTTATCCTATCTCTCACTAACTGTTGCTTATCACAGTGCTGTAGGTTCATAACCTCGGCAGATCGCATTAATTGCAGTTGTCTATTGACATCATACGCCGCGCCATGTTGAACCATGTTCACACCGAACACCGCAAAGTATGGTTCCATTCCAATTGAACTGTGCTTTGCACTCCTCAAAGCAAAGGCCGCATCACTGATATGCTCGTCCCATTTCCTTTGATCAGTACCCAAATATGATCTTAACATTTGCAATACGGACTGGTTGACACGCTCTGCTGCATTCGCTTGTGGAGAATATAACGCCGTTCTGACTTGTATTACTCCATATTTCTCTAAAAATGACTTAAAGGTTTCGCACACAAACTGTTTACCATTGTCTGAATGCACAAATTCTGGTACTCCAAACATATGAAATACCTCAGTTTCTAAATACTGCACTACCTTAGCCGCTGTCGCAGTGGACATGGGTTTCAGAAAAACATACTTTGAAAAGTGATCTAAACATACAAAAATCATTGTATTCCCTGCTTTCGTTCTAGGATATGGTCCCATAAAGTCTATATACAGCCTTGGAAGGGTCTTTCTGTTAACATTTGTGCCCCCATTGGCGGCTTACGCCTTCTGCTTACGGACTTGGAACCATTACACACCTCACAATTCCTTATAAGTGTTTGTACATCTGTTACCATGCCTGGCCAGAAATATTTTTCTCTTATTTTTGCTAGCGTCTTGTGGAGTCCGCCATGTCCGGAGGAAGGTGAAGCATGCATTCTTTCAGTTAGTAAGCCGTGCATATCAGCTGGTACCCACAACTTCCATGCACTGTCTTCTTGTATTGGATCACCGCTACTGAAATTCATTCGTTTATAGACATAACCATCTGACACACAGAGATCTGGCATTTGCTCTTGTTTAGCTTCAATGGTCTTGATGAGATCTTTGTATTCTGCCGAACTAAATGATAAAGACTGTAAGTCGACGTCTAAATTCCTATTTGTGTCTACCATTTCCTCCATGAACACCCTTGAGAGTGCATCTGGAACGACGTTTTGTGTACCCTTTCTATGCTCGATTTTAAAATCGAAGGCCTGGAGCTTGAAACTCCAACGAGCCAACCTGCCTGTCAGATCCTTTTGGTTCATCAGCCACTTGAGGCTGGCGTGATCAGTTATTATTGTAAAAGGTAGACCTTCAACGTATGCTCTGAACTTCTTGACGCTGAGCACTGCCGCGTAGCATTCCAGTTCCGTAACACTATAGTTGCGTTGGGCTTTATTCAATTTAGAGGACATATATGCAATAGGACGTTCACCTCCGTTTTCATCGGTTTGAAACAACACTCCCCCTACTCCACATGTCGAAGCGTCACATTGTATGTAGAATGGTCGCTCAAAATTTGGGTTCGTTAATACAGGGGCTGTTGTTAAGCTCTCTTTTAGTTGTTCAAAAGCTATTCTTGCATCCTCAGACAAAGTAAATTTCTTCAATCGCTCCTTCGACAGACATTCGTGTAATGGTGCCGCTATTGAAGCATAGTCTTTGATAAACCTACGGTACCATCCAGTCATTCCTAAAAACCTTCGAAGTTGCTTAGCTGTCTTTGGCTCCGGGAACAAGGTCATGGCCTCTACTTTCCCTGGATCTGTTCTTAAACATCCATCACCTACAACATACCCTAAATATTTTACCTTCCTATAGCAGAATTTACTCTTTTCGACATTGATTGTTAGACTAGCATTTCTCAAACAGTTGGCCACCCTACCTGGTACCTGGTCTACCTGGTACAGTGAAGGCCGTTTTCTCCCTTGATTTATGCTCCAATGGTATTTGCCAAAATGCATCTTTCAAGTCAATAGCTGAAATGTATCTTGTATTTTGTAGTCGGCTAAGCAATCCTTCGATGTGCGGTAGAGGGTAAGCGTCTTTAATAGTCCTGTCATTCACTTTGCGTGCATCCAGGCATAGCCGGTGTTTATCTCCTTTTATGACCAAAGTCACTGGTGAGCTCCAGCTGCTATTGCTCTCCTCAATAACACCTAATTGTAACATGCGGTCCAACTCTGCGTACATCAGTTTTTGTATTGCTGGGGAGATAGGATAATGCCTTTGCTTTACGGGAAGATGCTCATCGCGAACTTCTATAATATGCGTTTCGACCATTGTCTTACCTAAACCTAGCTCATTGAATGACGGAAATTTTTTTACTACTAAGTTCAACTTTAACAACTGCTGCTTAGTTAGTTCATGTGGATCAGCCGTAACTTTCAAACTGGAAGATTGTATCTCTAACTCAGACACCCCCTTTAAATCTTTTACACAAATTTTTTTCCTCGTTAACAATGGGATTTCAAAAGTCCTCCAAAAATCAATTCCGAAGTAGAATTCTTGCTGTAATGAAGGAACTACCAAAAAGTCCATTGACTTAATTTCTCCTTCCCATAACACAGGTAATGAAATGACTCCCATGATTGGAGTTTCAATTCCATTTGCCGTTTTGATAGATTTTCCTTTAATTTTTACCAGTTGGTTAATTTGCTTGTCTAAAAACTCTAGAGCTCCCTGTATGTGATAGCTATAGTCTGTTCTATTGGCCTACGCAAGATTTGGTATTGACTCCCGGCTGCTAATTCCTCTGGTAGTAGCCCCGGGCTGCTCCTACCTGTCTCGCGTTTCCCTCACCTGACTCCATCTTACAATATGACACACCCTCATTACAGATAAAACATTTCATTTGGTGAAACGACGACCTACACTCATCACCTGAACCTTCCCTGTTTGTAACCTTATAATGGTCCCCTGGCATTCCACAGGTGAAACACAAGTTGAGATGAAATGGTGATGAGCAAAACTTTGTTTGTATGTCCTGACTAGTTCTTTTTTGTGACGGTTCATCCTTTTGTCTCTGTGTCTCCGGGTGATCACCCATTCTAGATCTCCAGTTAGACGAACTGGTATTGTTGGCTTGCCTATCATGACTGACTTTTTGAATTGCTTCAAGCTCCATTACCTGATCTGACCATCCTTGTCTTTCTTCCTCCTTGATGAACTGTAATTCATTCACTTGTCGTCCTCGCGTCCTAGTTTCCAACAGTAGCTTTTCACCACGTTTACAGTCTCTGACCAAGTCTGCTAGATTCTCAATTGTGGAAGAAAACATTAGCCCAGCCAAAGAGGCTTTTAGATTCCCTTTGATTATGCGTACCAACTCAAATTCGGGGATTTTCTTCCGTAGTCTAAAAGATAAATTATGAATTTCCGTATAAAAGGTTTCAAAAGGTTCGCCTGGCTGTTGCTTCCTTTCCATAATTTGCTTTATCACTTCATAGTCACTATCACTGGACCTAAACTGATTGACTAATTCACGTTTTAATTGAAAGTAGTCAAACGCCTCATCTTCAGCATGATCTTCCATCACCTGCCAGTACCAACGTGCTGCCTGTCCTGACACCAAAGAATGAAAATCAGTGAACAATTGGTGATAAGGAATCTCATGCTGCTCCCTCATCTTTTCTATTCTGAATACGAAACTTTCTACAGACATATCTTTGTTAGTACCATCAAATTTAATACGCCAACGATCTAGATCTACATTTTTCCTCGGGGCCCTCTGATCATCATCGAAAAGAATTGACTCACGCCTATTTTGACTCAACCTATCATTACCTTCCCTTTCAGACACTGGATTACTACTGCCTATA